CTGAATTAAGTAAACCCTTTCTAAATTTTTTCAGCAACTAAAATAATTATTTATCTTTTGCAATTGTTTAATAAATTAAAATATTTATACAAGGCATCAATGTTTCATAAATTAGTTAGGCAATTAAAAGTACAGTATCAGACTGTAAGAAATATCTCTACAGCCATTTATTAGCTAGCTTTTCGTAGCTATATCTGACAACGCTTGATTACTTCTCTCATAGCAATACAAAAGGAATAACTAATGAGTGAACTGAAATGGAACTGATTGCGCGGGTACGATTTCTTTAATCTGAATAAATAGGGGTACCGATATTCTATAAAGTAGTAGCTGACATTACAGTCTCGCTATTTCTAGCGTAATCTTTCCATTAATTCTTTTAATGAAAAATTGGACCTTTATCTTTATTAATGTTTCCAATATAGCTATTAGAATATTAGCTTATGTAATTTAGCATGTATGCTAAAAGCATAATATATACTGTATTGCTATACTATATTCCATGTATGTGAGAATCGAATACGGTGACGGTAATAATCTCACTATTAAATATAATCGTAAAATCGACTCAAAACATTAATATTAAACTTCAAAAATTGTAATCGATGTGGTATTACATTACTTCTTGCTAGAAGCTATGTCCAATATCATTGATTATATGCAAAAGGAGATTCGTAAGAGAGTAAGTGGATAGATTTTTGAGGGATGTACGAATATACTCGTATTTTTATACTATTCTTTTAGATTAAGATACTCGCAAACATGTATGTATATGTTTACACTTTATCATAAGGGAAATGATCAAGAAATAAATATGAATTCTTATTCAAAATCATAGCAATGTTGATTTCGTCAGTTATAAGGTTTACTTCAACATTTTGAGTAGTTATCAAACTACAGTACTACGAAAGTAAACGCTTCAATACCTTGGAATCGTAATCCAGTCATTTTACTATAGCCGCAATATCAATATTTAAGGCTAATTTATAAAGTCCCTGGCATTAACTATGAATCCAATAGAGTAAAATAGATATCAGAAATGATGTAATTTACATTCTGTAATATGAAAATTGATAATCGGATATCTCTATTGACACATTCATACCATATTTGAATTACTATTATTTTTCATTTAGCAATGTGGTAGCCTATGGTTGTGAAAGAATCATAATGCCCCAAATCCTGTTCCAGAAAAAATTTTCCGTTTAAAGTCAGACAATAAATGCTTATAGTGATGCAATCATACTAAAATTCTATTCATTGAATTAAATTAATCGCGTCCTACTGTCAAAGCAACCAATAGCCATCTCTTTCTCTAACGATGAACAATATTGTTGCTGTCAATATTTCTCACTATCATAAATTGTACAATGACTTAATGACTATCCGAAGGCTTTGGTAAATTGATTACATAATACGTTAGTCAAAAATTGCAGACTATAATTTGCTCAGCAAATGTCAAAAAGAGAATAATTCATCATTTTCAATTGTCTTATTTGAATAATGATCATGTGTAAATGAAGGTGGTTGATGAATGTAAGAGGATAGTTTTTAGATTACTTGCGAAAACACTACCAGGTGAAGGTGAATATAGATTGATTTATGATATGTTATCATGCTGGCACTGCTAAACATGTGTTACGAAAGTTCAAATTCAATAGTTTCGTTTCAATCCTCATTTGATTTACGTAATATCATGAACTATCTGTGTAATCGGCAGAAATACTAATTTCACTTTCCATTGGATAGATCATTAAATAAAATTTTTTAGTCGGCTGTACTTAGTTATTCGATGATTATATTGGCTAAAAATTGAGAATGAATATAAGCAAAATTACGCAATTTTGTCTATCAGTATAGTTAAGAATCAATAACGCTCCATAAAATGAATGGGTACAGATTTAACTAAGGGGAATTTCATTGAAAAAATGCAGAAACAAAAGCATCAATTAATGATGTTGTTAGCGCGTGGTATCAGTTTATTAGTCACCACACCGTTCTGATTCATTGGTTCTATTATATCCTACGTCTTAATTATTGACAGCTTTTATTAGTTTAAACAACATTGACGAAGAGAGGCTATGGTTTGTCAGGTTGTCCTTTGATTGGTAGAGATGTATTTAACATCTATACTTTTGCATTAACTTGCTTAGATTAGATTTCTTAACAGTAAGTAAGTTTTCATTTTTTTTCTCTCCCGCTGTTTCTCTACTTCCATTTTCATCGCTGCTGACAAATTTGGCTTAACCAAGATCTCCATGGGTAATCAGATAAATAAAAATCAAGGAATACCATGTCAAGCATTTAATCATTCTTGTCATCAGTGTACAACATTGAATTATTGCTATTTTTGCCAATCTACTTCGATTTGCCTTCATCTTCCTGTTAATACAACTTTATGGAGTTTACCAGATAAAGTATGCGACAATTTAGGATGGTATACTGGACAATGTCTCCTTCCTAGGAAGATATTTGTTATTACTTTGCCTTGTGTGACTATAATATCATTGATATTACTTGGCACTATATGCTTTTATTACTACAATAGAGATCAAAATACTCGATTTAAAATCTTTAACTATCGTCGAAAGAGAGGCTATATGCCAGTTTCAGTACAATATTCTCGTCAAAAGTTAATCAGTAAAATTAAAAATAAATATGGTAGGGTTGAGAAGTATTAATTCATGTATACATGTCAGAAATAATTACAATAATAATGGTAGTTCAGCCGGAGGCATCAAGATGCACCAATTTTTTTTGCGATACAGTAATTTTAGCAACTGCATTGCTTTCGCGTATTGTAATTCTTCTGCGACATATTTGCTTTCAATATCGTCGAAGCAAATCTGGTAATGGTTAGTCATTAATTTGCTAAACGTATGCTAAGGGCTAATATAAATTACTAATTAATTTAAAATGGACGCTAACATTTTTGTGGAAGAATTGAGCTAACTTCATTGCGAATTAGCGGTTTTTAGTAATGATACTTGTTTATCTTAAGAAATAATCTAAATCATAGCATATGCAGTAATCATCTCGCTTTCGTAAAGCATGCTTAAGGTCTAACATGAACGTATATAGGATAAGTTCTCTGTAAATCTATAATATAATGATAGCGTGTCATTGTAATATGCATGCAATGATGTAGCTGAGAGAATTCCCGTGATTTCGAATCAGTTGTTATTGCTTTCTTTTTGTCAATTTATAGTTTATCATCAAATTTGGAATAAATCTTAATTTAAAAATACAGAAGCTTCGGATTTTACAATTTTAATCTCAATCTAAATTGAATATTTTATCCCTTGTTATATTCATGCTCTCTTTATCCTTAGCGTTACATTGGGTCTTTAGGTTTGCAGATAAGTTACTCCAAAATATTACTTCAGTTCGTTTGCATTTGTTTATGATCAATTCGCTGTTAATGATTTAAATCTTTTGAATAATGATGTAGACTGGAAGCATCTTGTAAGGCTTTTACTGTCGAGGTAATGGCATTAATCTATTCATTCTAAACTCATGTAAATAATGATGTTATAAATATCCATTTTACGTGCACGGTATAAGTTATATAACAAATATAAATCACAATATAGAATCGTTTAACGGTGCCTTGAAAGTTCTTATCTCTCGTTTTCTCTCTAAATCAAAGTATTTCTGCTATAATATTTTATGCATCTGATAATTGGATTTTAATCGGATAGCTGATGATGAGTATGGGCCTGGTTATTGGTTTTAATAAATAGATACTTTGAAAAATACACAAAATCGGATGATTTAGTAATAGCAATGTGACATAGCTTAACCACAATATCATTATGAACATGCAGTCATTTTTATGACGTTTTCTATCACGCTAATTTGGCTAATGTAGTATCATGTAGGAATGCTTAACTCTGCTAGTAAAGATGATTGAGATGGCTTAAAAGTTCAATGGTCTATCCAAAGTATTACAGCTTGGTGCCGCTTGTAGTGGGTAGATTTTTAATCTTACAATCAACACTTACTTTATTCAGACATTTATACGTAGTTCTACACTGCATACTACCTGTGTATTCGCTATCATATAACTACTGTTCCTGGCTGAAATCATGATGGCTCTTAAAGCTTGTTTATTCCTAATATTATGCTATTGCCTTTTTTTTATGTCAATCACATGTGTTTAATAAAATTATTTGCTGATTAATTAAACCTAAATTTGTAATAGGTGTTTGTGTTAATCTGAAACTACTTTATAAACCATTTCTTCGACTAAAACAGTTAATTTAATATGTTTTGTTTAAAACAGTCAAGTTCGTGACGATACTACAATATGCTCATCATGAATATTTTGCCATCGCACAGGAAAGAGTGAAATTAGAAGTCAGATATCCAATGGTAACTTTGCTAAGTTATTTCAAAGAATTTTCTGAGCCAACCTATAGGATTGCATATGAGCAGCTGCTGTTAGAGGATTTATAGTAGAGATAATGTAACAAATATGCTACTTCGCCTAAAAGTATCAACTAACTTATATAAACATGAACTGCTGAATAGTACTACCATATTACTAGGTAATTGAAATAATTTTAAACTGTAACGTAAATTCGAACTTTCAATTGGACAAATAAATTACATCAACATGTAAAATTAGCCGAGACCGACAGTTTTGTTAAAGAAATTGAATTAGAGATCTAGCCAATCAATCTACAATAATTCCATCATTTTCTTTTGTTTAATGCCGTTTTTACCATATTGTTGGAGATCAATGCATCCTGATACTTAAGTAGAGCATATCCATATAGTAAATCAGTGAAAATCGTTGAACCTAAAGACGGTAAGAAAGATAAGAGCGAAGCGGTTATAAAATACGAGTATTTCTTGAAGTTGCTTAAACTATTGCTTGATATCGATTCAACCAAGTCAATTAATAGAAAGATGATAACAGTTAGAATATAGCAAGTATTATTATCTACTCAAATTACCAAAGCAGCCCATTTTAAGCATCGATCCGGCAATCAAACATGTGGCTATCTCTACGATCAATCTATCTGTTCATATTTATAACATCGGCAGTATTAATGCCGATGATTACTTGTCATTCTCTTAGTAGCTTGGCTAAAGCGAAAAGAGCAACTAGGATTACGGATAAGGATTGTTTTGCCAGTAACGGTTCTTGCGTTGATTGTGTACAAACTTTTCATTGTTTTTTTTGCAACTCAAACAGGGTTTGTTGGAAATATCGTGGAACCAGTATAACTAATTTTCTACCACCTCAGTGGCAATGCAATAATAACAATTGGCAAATTGGTCAATGCAGTATTAATGGATTAACGTTAATTATTCTTGTTCCAATCGCCAGCAGTATCCTCATCATTGTTCTAACGTGTGGATTATATTGTTGTTGTTGCCGCAATAGCTATCGCAAGATGTGGTTTTATGAGAATGAGAGACATGAAAGTGAATTAGCAAGGCGCCAACATAACGCTGAATTACGTAATTTTGATCGGAAAGCACGTCGTGAGCGCCTTGCTCAAAAGTACAGAAGCACGCCTGGCAAGATATAACTATCTCGTAAATTGTGATGATTGATTGTAAACTTTAGACTGTGCGATAGTTAACTTCATCATTTCTAGGAATTTTTATTCTAGTTTATATGTAATTATTTAAATTCAATATTTGGATGTCCAACCTGGATGGATTTAATTATAATTATATATATCATGAAATAATCTGTCGTTATCAACGTACGAATACCATAAATTAACACGCCTTCGGCTATACACCATTTGCATAGATATAGTGATAATTAATAAGTAATTATGATGAAACCAGGTGTGTGTATTGTGTATATCATCATAATCTAGATAGCAATGGGCATGCAAGTTCTGTCTTATATGATGGTATCTCCAGCTCATATGACGAATATACGCGTATCTTCAAGTTCTGATTTCATCAGAAAGCACAGTTGATTAAAATTTTAATTATTGACATGATCGTTTGATAATATATTTTCAATACCGGTTAACGTGTAAACTTTAAAGTTTTTGCACTCCAAAGTAAGGAAATGTTGTCAATGATTTTAGAGTGGGGGAGGTAGTCTATGTTGATATGCCGGTAATAATCCTAATTCAATCTGGGTACTTGAAGAAGGGCTGATTTAAAATTCACCGTACTGTATAATTTTCTATTCTATTCTATTCAATACCGATATGAAAGGCAAGGTTGCTATCTTCTATCAGAGTTAAAAATGGATTTTAAGATCATTTCCTAGTATAATCGTGAGTGTAGACTGTGAAAGTGGTTTGCTAGGGTTTGCTACGTGTCGGAGTAGGTTTTAAGTAATTTTCATTCACAATACACTATAACAAGATATCGCATTGGCGTTGGATTGCGATCCATTAGGCGACACTACACTATATTAGACGTTAGCAGTATGTTCTAGAGGCTATTAGACCTCCAGGATCTTCATTTATAGTCATCCTTTGGAGAGTCAGACCTGCCCATAGTTCGGTTTGGCTAGGTTTAATGCCTGTCTTCAATATCTACCTTCAGCGACTAACTAAAATTACTAGGTATCGGTTATTTATGGAGGGGCGTTCATTCAGGTATCTCATGAAAGCTGGAGTGGATATTATTCTTCTACGACGGTAGTATAGCGACAACCCTACTGTATATGCCTTCGATATCTTAATTTCTCCAACAAATGATTTATGGCTAGTAATTTTACAGGTTATGACTTAATATGGAAAGCAGGGCCGTCAGTTCCAAGGAAGCATGGGGATTGGGGAGTGATATTGGTGTTGAAGCAGAGCACATCGATGCCTATCTGGTAAACAAGACGAACCGACTACAGGTGCAGTCCAGTATACCCTGTACTGTACAGCGCGATTAACTTGGTTGGCACTAAGGAAAATAAGCTGTCGAGGCTAAATCAAGCCCAAAGTATGCCCCTGTACATATCGATTTTGAACAGGAGTCTTTCATAAATTGTAACTTTCAATTTTCGACTCCATCTTGCCATCGAAGTGAATGGCGTTGTCTTGTAGATTAGGTCTACAATGTACAGTACATACCGGAGTACCCATGTACTGTACACTGTACAGTACTGTACCGTACTGGAGTGGTCTGTTTTACAACTGCCCTCAAATCCCATAATGGGGCTCAGGCCAAAGTCACGAGACTCAGCCTCGCGATTTTACTCGCCATTCGTCAGTCTAGTACTGTACCTTACAGTACTAGACACTCAGTACTAAGGACTGTAGTCAACATCAGCCAGGATTGGCCACGTAAGGATGACTTTGTAATATTTCACCAGAGTGTGCAGTACTGTACTGGGTGCTAGTGTACGGACTACAGTACAGTCCTGTACTGTAGTCCTGCACGGTACCATCGTCTGGGTGGCGATCGTTTTGACGATTCGATCGATGTTGGAACTAAATTCCAGTTGGTCAATCAGTTCCTCCCTCGTCTGGGTTCTTCGATAATGTTGGGTTAAGTCTTCGTGGCCGTAGTAATTTAAAATTATTCTTACTGTATTGGTAAGTGATATTGTCTTTCTTTGCTGAAATAGGTAAAGTTGTCTTGAATGCAGTGATCGCACTAGATATTGACGTCCAAACGATAGTTGGTGTAGACTACTGTACAAACGGACTACAATATTGTCTATTTCAGGGGCTGTCTTCGTTTCTTCTTTATCTATACTATAACATATACACTAGTGACGCAAAACAAAAAAAATGTGATAAATTCATACTCTGACACTGTCTGGGACTGCAGTACTGGAAAAAAATGATTCTCTCTCTTTTTGTCAGTCGTCCTTGAAAAAGTCTACTATAGTCGATATCGTTTACCTGGTATGAGTTTAACATACAGCTACAGCAGCAATTGCTGTATAAACTGACAGGAGTGCAGAATGGAGATCATCCCTAATTATTCCTCATTGGCGTTGCGTCTGCTGATTATATCAACTGTTTTAAAGAGAGTAGGAAACAGAGTTTTGCAAAAGGATCACGCTACAGACAAGCCGCACCAAAACATGCACCCGACGTCAAAAGTACTAGAATGCTGGTAAAGAAACCACTTCCGAAGCTACACATAGAAGCATCAATATATTAAATACCCTCATGTACACATATTGAAGCTAAACGAACTAGTCAATGAACTGAAAGTGTTAATTCTCTTCTTTCATTGCTAGATGATCGTTCACACCCTATGGAACAATCAATTCTCACACATTTTATTTCATAATATTTCAGCCCTGATCGTCTATCCAGCATTGCTCGATACCCTTCATCAATGAGATACATCAATAATTTCATTACAAGTACCAATAAGTCCGGAGATAATTCGACCTAGTTCATTAGTAAATGTAAATTGTTTAACCTATTCCTTACTTAATAAACAAAGTTTACAAACACTGATCGATTAGTTTAATTAATCTAAAGACATGACTAGAAGTAACGTTAAATCTGACCGGCTGAAGTAGTACTCTAATTCATATGTAACGAAGCCTTTGTAGCAGTAGCTGTATCCCTTTGAAGTGAAATTGGAACACTTAAATTATATTATATCCTACTTGAAAATTCTGCCTAAGAATCATTACAAGCTAAATACGAGTAATAATTCATGGTATAATTGTATGTTTTAAGATTGGCTGGCATCAATAGTACACCTTGAAAATATATATTCGTTAAGATTCTAGATGTTATATTCTTGCACTAGATCGAGCTACAAATTTACTACGATAATTTTAAATCTATTGACGCTTAGTACTGTATAAAGGTTATCGATTTTGTGTCAGTTGTAAGTGTCAGGTCTTGGTGGTAAAAAATGAATCTCAAAACAGTTACGGATTGGTCTAGGATTTAGCTGCGATCGATCTCTCAGTTTCTTCTTAATCTTGTTACAAAGTGTACAGTTTAGCATTAATATCTACTTATGAGGGTGTTAACAATACAGTACATACTAAGTAAAGTTAATATAATGAATGAAAATTATCTTGAGAGTTATACCTTGTTATAACCGTACATGTAGGTTGATTGGAAAGAATGATTCGGTATTTTGACTGCCTCATATCACTATTGATTCGTAATACATAATCATATACAGTAGCATAGAAGTAAAACGAGTGTATCCTGTATAGCGATGCACGACAATGATGATATTATTACAACTAAGATCACCTTTCTTGAGTTATGCGGCGCTGTAGCCATTTTACAATCTATATCAACTTAACAAATCGATACTCTAATACTGGGCAATATTATCAATCAAACTAACGAAATTATGCAATACATGAACTGAAATGAATTTATTACCTTCTAGAATTCTAAAGAGAAAAGGGTATGGCTGCAAGATCTATTTTAATTACCTTGTATATAGTAGGTTTATGGTCTTGTTTGACCACGATCACTCTTGCTGAGACGCAATTTATCGACATCGATTTTGATTCGAACAGCACAGGTACGTATTTATTACTTTAAGAGTTTACTGATAGATTTATAAAATCTTTTAATAAGTTAATAGTTAGAGAAGTCTTTAAGCCTACTTTAAACTCCACCGTGTACATAGACGTATATTAGTTGTGAGTGCGTAGTCGCATTACCACAGTAAATTACGTAAAACTTTGACTGTCGGTAAACAATTACTTGCCTTGGTTACAAATATGTGGATTATAATTAAGCGGCATAAGTTAGGTACAGCATATAGTTAATCTTAGCCTAGTGGTTGACTGTATTTCATTTGGTTATCGCTATAGATCGAAAGAGAAATGTTACCATTACTACTAGTCCAGCTCAAACACTTCAGCTGCATACAAAATCTATAGCATTCATAAAGCCAAGGTAGGCGATTTAACTTGATGGATACGAATTTATTCATTTAAGGAAATGTTAGGGTATTTACATTTAATTGTATATAGATAACTATGTGATATTGATTAGGTTTTTTGTAGTCATTTCCGTAAAATTATACATTTATATCTCTCGTATTTGAAATAGGTAATATTATGAATTTACTCTGCTACACGCTAGCTACTTTTTTTCAATTTTCGGTTAGCAATCATTAACTATGAAATCTGTAGTAAACTGTTTCGTGTTAGGCATACGAACTGCACTGTATGTCGTATACGACGATAGAAGTCAAAGTTTATCTTGATTAAGACTTAGTACTTAACTGTGTAAATAATTTGATTCTGATAGTGTCAAATAGTATTTCGCCACCTTGGCTACGTAGATATGCTACAAGATGTTTAACTTATCTAAAAGAAGTTATACTACTGTTAATAAAATATTGGGAGTTGCTAACTTATCTAAAAGAAGTTATAGTACTATTAATAAAATATTGGGAGTTTTAAATGTTACCTATGACATACTTCGAAACTTATCATGCCTTGTTCGAAATCAACGTAGGCAGCTGTAAAATTCTTCTTCGTTCTACGTCATTATAACTTGCAGTAGAAAGTATTTTTCGATAACGGCTCTAATGATCACGGTTACCTTTATTATTTTAACTTTTAGTTCGCAGTTAGCTACCGATGCTACTATTAATCTTTACAGTCGGAACGATGGTATAGTATCCAGTTCTGATGATCAGGTGAGCAAGAAGTATTTTATGACTTACGATGCAGCAATTGAGCTTAAATTTTTGAGATATTATGACGTTATCATGCTACGATTTTTAACTCTACTATTGATCATTTCAGGTGAAAATATTATCTGGTGATTGCAGCAGGGTTAATTTTTCCATTTCCGCTGTCGGACCCGGAGAAACAGAAATTGTTATGAACACAACTTCAGACGAAATTGTTAAGTAAGGCTGCTTCTATATTTACAGAAGGTTACGAAATATTGAAGTGATAGAGGATATTGACCAAAATTTTGTGTCTTACTAGTATAGCTTAGTTGTAAGTACTAATATAACTATTGTCATAATAGCGTAAGTCGTGCCTTTATCAAAGTCCACATCGTACATTCCTTAGCTTTGGTAACAATTAACGCAGTCATTGGCTGGATTTACTTTGCCGCGTGGACAATTTCGTTCTATCCTCAGGTTAAACGTCTTCTTGTCACACTGTCGATTATATAGTACCTTATTTCTATAGATAATTTTCGCTGTGCTAGGCATTTAGATGAAATTAGTACTACTTACCCCTTGGTGATGTAAATTTTAGATATATTAACTATTTTACGTCAAATACTTTCTTAATGTAGGTTTACGAGAACTGGAGGAGGAAAAGGTACAATGCTGTTGATATTAGCTACAGATATTAAATTTATCGCTATCTTACCGTGAAAGTATGCGATACAAGTATTTACAATCTAATAAAGTAGCATTAACAATGTTTGATTGATAGTGTGATTGGATTAAATTTCGACTATCTTGCGTTGAATATTACCGGGTTTATTGCCTATTCTATTTTCAACATTGGCATATTCTGGGTAGACGAAATTAAGGTAGGAAAAATACTGGTGAATGACATATTGAAACTCGCCTTGATTGAAATTACAAATTTATAATCATGAAATAATTCTATCATAGATGGAATACGAGAAATTGCACCCTTACGGTATAATTCCAGTTCGAGGAAATGATGTTTTCTTCGCTATCCACGCTGCCGTAATTACCGGTTTCACGATATTTCAGTGTTTTATTTACGAGGTTACTATTTATTTTACATTTGTCCCTGTTTCCGTTAATTTTCTTTTTGAGGCAATTTTATTTTATTACTATCCATTCTTGTAGCGTGGTGACCAAAAACTTTCTTGGACAGCGACTGCCCTTGTCTCTGGATCGTGGCTATTTGCTATTATATCCTTGATCGTAGCTATTGCTGGCAAGCTTAGCTGGTTAACTTATCTATACTTTTTGTCATATGTAAAGTTAGGAATAACCCTGATTAAATACGTGCCTCAGGTTTGTATGCAAATAAGTTGAGAGCACTTGACTTGGTATGTGCATTAATTACTACTTGGTCTGACTAGTATTAATCATCCTTTAGGCCTACATGAATTACAGGCGTAAAAGTACGGTTGGATGGAGTATTGGAAATGTCTTATTGGACTTTACTGGCGGTAGCTTTAGTTTACTGCAGATGTTTTTATTGGCCTACAACAGTGGTACGGTACAACAGAAATTGTTTGCTTCATTTTTCTATATTTACCATTTAAAATTAAAATTCATTGTTGCAAAATAGTGATGATTGATTTTTGCTTTCATTTTATTTGTTACTCTTAAATTTAGATGATTGGGGATCAATCTTTGGAGATCCAACAAAATTTGGATTAGGATTATTTTCTGTTTGCTTCGATATTCTTTTTATATTTCAGCATTACGTTCTGTATAAAAATAGGGACAAGGGGAGTGGATATGAAGCTCTAATTGAGCCATAAATTTTCTCGACTTTGATTGTGGTACCGCGTTATCGATTTTACCTATGGTATCGTTTTTATTGACGGTATCGCAATTGATTTTATCTTGAGCATGTGTTCTTATCTTCAGCAGATTTATTTTTATGATACAGAAGTAAACATCGAAATGTTAAACTAAAAATATAAAGTTATCGATTATCGTATATGATGAATTAAAGCCTGGAAGAAATTAATTTGAATAGGACGAGACTTTGTTGGATATGTTTTACAGTAGTGTGTATCCGACGTCGTTTGATGATTACTTTGAAAGAGTAGAATCGACTTGTATATCGATCCATTTATGACTGTTGATTATCTATTTTTTACGGAGAATATTGAATAGTTTTCGCGGTCTGCGAATAGATTTAACTGTAACTGAAAGTCGTAAGTTTCATTTTTATTTGTCTAATTTCTATTGTAAATGGATTATTTACCACAACTTGTACATTAGTGTAGTATTTGCACTGTATGGACCTGGTGAGGAGTATTGTACTACTGTACACTCGTGGACTGCAGCACTAGATTTTCTTTTATTTTATTAGTCCATGGTACAGTGCTTCGAGCAGTCACCATGAATATTAGTTTGTTAATCTAAAGGATATACTTGTAATACTGTAAACCTAACTGTACTATTCATGTATGGCGGTGGCTTTTGTAAAGATGTACTGATTGTCAATCCAAATTAACGGTATCATTTATTTTTTTTCCATATTTTGCTACCGAGCTGCAAAGTAGTAAAATAGTGTTACCGAATCGCGCTTACTCTTGTAAACGTTCATTGTTTATCAATCTAGATCAATGGCATGATTTTTTCCATCTTTCGCCTACCAGCAATAAAGAGATATTACAGTGTGATTAAGGAGCGAAATATGGAGTGTTGAGATTTGCAACCAACTATCCCAGCCCATCAGGGAGAATCAACTTTATATATAGCCCTATTTACAATCGTATTTACTAGAGGGCATTGCTTTATAAGGATGTAAAATCCCGCATAGCAATGAATTCACGTCATTTAATTTCCCCCAGAGAATAGTTATGTCCTATTGACTGGGTACAGTAGGCAGTAAACTGCTTCACCTTCTAAGTTTTGATGTGAAGCTTGGCTAAACTACTGTGTAGCAAGCAAGATTATAATACCTTATAATGNGACCTACTTTGGAATCTGGTACTAGTATACTAATATAATATAGACCGTATATGTTATACATTACTAGATAGAGTGATGGACTACGAAGAAATAAGTAAGTAGTCGATGATGCAGAAGAAATGAGTAACGAGGCGGGACCTACTTTGGAATCTGGTACTACTAATATACTAATATAATATAGACCGTATAGGTTCTACATTACTAGATAGAGTGATGGACTACCAAGAAATAAGTAAGTAGTCGATGATGCAGAAGAAATGAGTAACGAGGCGGGACCTACTTTGGAATCTGGTACTACTAATATACTAATATAATATAGACCGTATAGGTTCTACATTACCAGATACTGTACAGTCATGGCCTACGAAGAAGTCAGTTAGTCGATGATAGAGAAGAAATGAGTACTGAGGCGGGACCTACTTTGCTATCTGGTACTGTAATTCCTGACTTTGGTCACCTGGTCTACATTTGGCGCCAGATTCGTGCTTACAGTACAATTCACAGTAGCTAGACTGTACACGGTACAAGTCTTGTCTTCATTGCTCTTTTCTGTCGGCATTTAATAGAGACATTACTTTTGCTAGTCATGCGTCTAGTACTCTACAATGTCTTTTAGCATTGCTAATAGTTTCATTGCTTGCATTACCATCACTAGCAAAAATAATGTCACCAATATATGCCTGCAATATTGCCTACAGTACCAAGTCCACTTTATTGATAAAATGGACTTCATGCTCTTATTGGCCATCGTGTAACCAA